CGGGAGCGGACGGAGCGGGGCGTGACATAACCCCCCCCCAAAGGCGCGCACACCGGGCGCGCCCGAGAGGAGGAGACGGACGAGACGGAACCGGGGAACAGGACCTGGAAGACAAAGTAAAACATCAACCAAAACCAGGGAACAAGACAGAGACACAAAACAGGAACAAGGACGAGAAAAACGACAAGACCCGACAAAGGACAGGAAACGCAGACAAGCAAACAGAGAAGAGGGACACAGAGGGGACACCCACAGGCGACACGAAGGGGCCAGGAGTGCACAGAGGAGGAACAAAGGGACGAGGAACAGAGACAGGCGGGACCAAAGGAAAGGGAGGAGGAAGCAGGGGAGCCCGAGGGAGCCCAGGCGGGCGACGGGCAGCGGCCGGAGGGGCCGCAGGCGAGAGGAAGGGGGGAGCAGGAGGGGACCACCTAGGGGCCAAGGGAACGGGACGAGGGAGTGACGGAGGGGACACGGAGGGAGCAGGAGGGAAACCCAGTGAAGGCAGGCAGGAGGGGGAAGCTGCGGCAGGCGGAGGCGCAGCCAGAGCCGGCGAAGGCGCCGTCCGACGCTCAGCCGGAGCAGGGGGGCCCGGAGGCGGCCGACATGGACCCGGAGGCGGGACCGAGGACCGGCACCGAGGATCCAGGGGGGGACCCGGAGGCGACCGCCGACCCCGAGCCGGAGGACCCGCAGGCAGCCACGGAGCCACAGCCAGGGGCCTAACGGGCGAGCCAGGGGGCAGGGCGGGCGGGACCCGGGCCCGACGCCTGTGTCCCCGTCCCTTACGGGAAACTGACAGGCGGGGTCCTGGGGGGTGTTGGCCTTGCCGGGGTAAGGGAGAGGGAGTCAGGAGGGAGGTCAAGTCTGGGCAGACAAGTGTCATGGCCTCCAAAGAGGCAACAGGCGGGGCAGCCGTCGCCTCTCCTCTGGCGCGCCCGGTGTGCGCGCCTTTGGGGGGGGGTTCTGTCACGTTCAGGCAAAGGAGGCGAGCAGGGAAGCAGGCGATCGTAGCCAGGAAGTCAGGTAAACTGGGTTTAATTCACCACGGACGGACATCGACGGACAATACAATGACAGATCTGGGGTACACTGACTTAGACACGGACTAAATACAAGACACAGGCTAAGGGTAACGAATCACAGGTAAGAACAATCAGGGAATCACACGAGGTAACGAGGTGGGCGTGGCACACATCGGGAGCGGACGGAGCGGGGCGTGACAATATCAATGGGTAAAAAATTTATATTGATTTTGATGAAAGCATCAAATAAGCTACATGTTCATTATTTTAAAAGTTCTACATATATTTGGAATTGCAAATGTAGCCATGCAATTTTTTTCCATAAAGAAATTTTCATACAGATTAATGGACATTTCATCATTTTCATTTAGCAAAGAAATAGTGGAATGTATTTGGTGAATAAAATTTAAATTTTCATTTCTCAGAAGTGATTGCCTATCTTCTTTTATCACATTAGCTAAAGGCCATTATTGGTTAAATAAAATTTTGATCTAGTTTTCAAAAGGTCTTGGAAGCAAAGAATGCATGAAAAATGTGGTGATGTAAATTTTATTGTGCACTTCCATGCTGTAAAGATGGATGATTATATATTGATCAGGAAATCTGGGATGCAACAAAAAAGAACACAGTGCTATATGCAAATTTATGAGTTTATTGTATTTTTTTCTTTTTTTTTTTAACCACACAGTCATAGTTGATTTTTTCCCTTAGAGTGTCAAATTAACTCAATTGTGAGTCTCAATACACAATACCAGTGTCAACTAAAATGGGCACAGACTAAAAAATACCTGCTTTGATGTGTTTTCTGTCAGCCACCTGCTCTGTAATGCTTTACTGATTTGATGTACCTCACCTGGAAAAGATCACTATTCACACCAGAATGCAGGCAGCCACCTGACAGCAGATATCACTGAAGAGCACTGGGAGGGAGAAAGCATTAGCAATGGGTCTCCATGCTGTAGGCGTTCTCTGGGCCTTCGCCACAGACAGCTAAAATGGCAGAATCGGAATCACTGTATATGGCTTCTTGGGGGAGAGCCGAATATGACAGGCTGCCATAATATCGAAGCTCTGACCCAGGAGGTGCAAAATTAAATATGATCATTGCAATATGTGTATTTTTTATTATTATTAAATAATGAACAGTTGTCATACAGTTGAGACATAACCCATAATTACAGTATTGTAGTTTAACCACTGCGGTGGGCTGGCCCCCCATCCTGGATTGTTTCCCGCCTCGTGCCCGTAACTTCTGGGATAGGCTCCGGACCCCCCGCGACCCAGAAGGATAAGCGATTTGAATGGATAGTTTAACCAAATTACCTGTAGAGCAACTATCTATAGAAGCCACACAGAAAATATGGAGTGCATGTGAAATGTTAAAAAAATTGTTTACTTCATTTTTTTACTTTCTTTTTATCAGTCAGTTTTGTCTGCATTCTATCAGTCTTGATACTTTGTTATTTTGAGCAATGAGCCACAGAAGGACCATCTATTCTGGAACAGGGAGGTAACAGTGCCGTGTGACCCTGTCCTATGTGTCTTGTCCCCGTTTGACCAGCAGGCGTCGCTGGTCATCCTGCTTCCCTACTCTCTGTCTTGTAGCCTTTCAGTCCCCTGAGATTGACCCTATCCACCCACACTGAATCAAAAAGAGGCCAGATAGTGCAAGGCAAAGAAAAACACACCATAACAGTAAAGAAGTATTGCAAAGTAGAGCACATGTACTGTAAAGACAAATGAGTACCAAACCTATGACAAAAATATATTTGTTCAAAAATTTTGGCAAACAAAAAATCTTTTAATACATCAATTTTGTTTGCAATTTATGCATGCTTTTGTCTACGGTACACACATTTGTTTCCAGCGCTATGTGACAGCAATTAGTCTCTATACAATCTATAAAACTTTTGTACAACCTAAAGTTGCTAAATTCTTGAAATACTTTTTTCAAAAAACATTTCAGGCACTCGTAGATAGTCAATTTGTAATTCTTTTTTTTGGTTCATGTGAAACACTTCAGCAGAGGAACAAAACTGTACTGAAAAAAATGTCATTTAATATCTTATTTTAGAAATAAGCATTTGACTGAAGAATCTAATTGTAAAATGATTGAACTATTGATTTACATTTCAGGCACTAGGACATTTATTCAATTTGTATTTTCTTCTAAGAATTCAGTATTTTTTTCTTGTGTTATGTAATATTGTTATGTTCAGCAGAGATGCACTTTCTATGTTTTCCAATTGGGAAACAAGATGTGAATAAATACAACTATAATTCTTTCTGACATACTGTCCCGACTGTCCTTACTGTTAATAAAATGTAATGATATCGGTAAATATTGAATATCAATACAGTGACCTAAAATATCGAGATATTGTTTTACAGCCATTTCACCCAGCCCTACAGGACAGCACAGCCTACTTCTCAGCAGTGGATGGGGGGACATATAACTCCGAACTCATGGGCCCGGCAATAAATAAAATAAATTCTATAGGCAGGTACTGTATGGCCCTTCCTGTTCTGTGACGTCATTTCCTCTAGCTGGGCACTCTCACCTTCTTGGGCAACCTGGTTCCTTTTTCCCGGTACTCCCAGGGACCCTAAACGTCCCAGAAACGTTGGTAATGCTTTACATTACCTGCACCTTCAAAAAACGTTCAGTACACCTTCATAATGTATTCATTAAGTATTTATAAAACATTCATAAACATTATGTATGTATACCGTAACATCCTAACAGCTGTAATATATATTAATAACAAACATTATATAATAATACCAAACAGTATAATTGTATAATCATGTAATGTTTGTTTTTAATGTTAGGAATGTTAGGATGTTAAGATGTACTCTCATGCTGCCTATGAATGTTCTATGAATGCATTATGAATGCATTATGAAGGTGCAGTTAATGTAAAAGTGTTACCGAAAAGTTTAACACCATGCTGCTGGACAGCAGTCATCTGCACTATCAAGGGGAACAAACAGTTACGTGAAAAGCCCCATCCCTAGGATGACTAGAGTGTCCAAAGTGACCAAAGTGTCTTCTGTGACATAGATTATCTCGTCACCCTATAGGCATGGCTGAAGGCTAGTCAGTCCCTCCCTGCAGCTGTACATTTAAATACTGGTCTCATTCAGGGTAAGAGAGACAGGCTTGTGGTTTTCCAGGCTCTAACGACTCAGAGGACAATGAGAAGATTTGGCTCCAGTCCTTGCCCTGAGTATAAGCCTAGACTGCCCAACAATAAAACAGAACTACAATTTCACATGTAGATCAGAAAATGTTCTTAGAGATCTTTGTCTTTTTGCCTTAATAATTGCAGGGGTGCGATTCATTATTTAAAGGAAGGGAAACACAGCAAAGGAAATGATATCATTGTGTGGCACGGGTAGCCCAATTCTCATTTGAAACATAATCTTAAAGAGAATTTAACCTCTGCCACTGCATTAATTAATGGCTTAGTTTCCAAAGTACACAGGGGCATGTATAAATATGGTATTAATAAATACAGAATATTGTAAAAGTCGTAAATAAATTCAATATTTACACATTTACTGGAAATTAACTAAAAACCTTAATTTAAGGTAAATTAACACCGCCGATTTAATATGTCTAAAACGGCAATCTAACACACAGTTTGTTCTGTTGATAAATTTATGCTCTGTGAAGTGATTTTTTCTTCTTTTTAAAATGTATATTTCCTTATTTAACTTTCCTTGCATAATGAACGTAATTATGTCCACCGCGGTTAGCGAGTTATAATTAGGTTTATCTCTTCGTTATGGTATTGTCATGGAAACAAATCGAATACATAAAGCATTCATTGATTCGACTGAATTTACTAAATGTTATATGATCCGTGTAACAAAGATTATCGACATGCACTGAGTAAGAACACCAACATCACCCCTCCTCTGTGGTGTTTGGGGGGGGGGGGGGCAGACCATAATGCCTTACAAATTCAGTTGGTTTGCAGGCAGACTTACGCACACCAGCGACTTGGAGAGATTAATTTTAAATGCTCGCAGTTTTAACTCATTTTGTTGCTATGGGAAACTTCATGAACGTTTCATATAATCTCGATTAGCTATTTTTCTAATTTTTGTGAAATGCACTCTACTTTACATCTCTACAGGTAAGTTCATATGTGCGCTGTCTTTATTTTAATTTGGCAAGAGATTCATCGGTAATTGATGAAAAATAAATAAAAATGCAACTATGTTGCCGAATCGTTACCTTTATCTCTACAATGATGTTATTCCATTGCTGTCATTCAATTTAGGTATTATTCTGGCCAGGTGTTAAGTCGTAGTTTTTTCCATATAAGATATACGTAATAAATTCAGAAGGGACACTTATCTTTTGTGTTATTTGTTGTGAACTTTGCAACATTTCTGTTACTAATTATTCTGATCGATTTCAACATTTGTATATTTAAACTATTTTAAATATTAAAATGATGAGATATGGCATACGCATGCATTTAAATGAATGTATGTATTCGCTTTATTGATGGCAGGTTAATTTGGATGAAATATACGAGGAACACTACAGTGCAAACTAACGGACAGTAGATAGGCTATACTGTATATCAGAGAGTACATATTTCGTACTTGAATTTGAGCGTTTCTACCATGCGTAAAGAGTAATATAAGAAATTGCGAACAATACTTTCCTGGACCACTCAACATTGAGGGAAAACTACCGAACTGTAACCCCCCAAATAAATAAATATATAAAACACTGATTGTTTTGGAATATACACAATCAGAATCTACCCCTCCTGTCAGATTTTTTTTTAAGAAGAAAGCAAATTATTATTATTATTATTATTACTGCTACTACTTCTTAAACACCACAATATAGAATATAGATTTAGGCAATGTTGCTTTTAGCTCAGAAGGTGACATTGTTTTTCTGCTGATTAGCCTTCAATGAGCAATGAGATATTTATACTGCTGGTGATTAGATGGTGGATAATGAACATTACCGTTACATCAGAGGATCTGGATGTAGTAAACAGCATAAGAAATATACTACCTGAGACTCCAGGTCAGGCAGAGAAGGGTGAAGGATGAAGGATGAAGAGAACATATTGATTTATTAAAGAAAATCAATCAGCATAAACAGCAATACAAGTATCTGTACTGCTCTGAGGTCATTTTGCATAATTATCCTTTTAGATTCTTTTAGCAAGTAAACCCCTTCATTCTGTGCTTGTTTGCTGAACTTGATAAATTATTCAGTTGTCGTTGATGATTTTATTTACTTCTTGCCAGATTACTGAGTGCTGTGCTGTATAATTGTCAAGTATTTTAGCTCAATTCAGCTTCTTGTGCTAATGTAGTATATTGTGGAAAATGGAATATTGGTATGAAAATATACATCTTTCACCACATAAATGTGTAAATTGTCCTACAGTACACACATATATTTGTGTGTGTGTGTGTGTGTGTGTGTATATATATATATATATATATATATATATATATATATATATATATATATATATATACGTGTATATATGTATGTGTGCGTGTGTGTGTGCGCGTGTATGTTGGTTCAGGCGAATGGAACAATAAATAAATACACGGTCAGCTGATATTTATGATTATAGGTCTAGTAAAAGTTTCCAGGTCAATCACATGAACAGTGCTTGAATAAATGTGTATGATCTGAGCATAAAAAAATCACATTATGGATAATGATATGAATGAACAAAATGAATCTTTTAAAATAAAAGAAACTGATTTGAATATAAAACTGCTAAGTTTACTTTTACTCTGTTCGATTAGTTACAGCAATGAAAACTTGGCACTAAAGTTTGAGAGAATCTTGTCTATTTTATTTAACAGTCCTTTGTTAATACAGACTTATGTTTTGTGGAAATTCTGGCATATTGTGTTTCTATGGGGTAGACTTGGAGCTCAATTGATTGGATCAGCAGTTACTTAAAACTAATGCTTGGAAATGTGTGATGCATTAATATATTTCCTTGTTTAAATTTCACTTTACTTTCTGAGAAATTCCACTAGATGATTAGTTTAATGCGGTTGTAAGCTTTTTGATCGTAGGAACAAAAAGTGTCATAAACTAATATGAACGAGGTACAGCTTCTCATATCTCAAGAGAGGTGAAGGCCACATGATGGGAGTTGCCGTTATTGACTGACACAGCTTTTATGAGCTGAATGAGGTGTCCGCATTAAATTAAATTTCACTACTGCTGTGTTCTCTACATCTGATTGGATCGCTGCTATGATTTCTGCGATGCGTTTGTTGATTTTGCCTGGTTTCCTGTTGGTTTCTTGTCAATGACATTTCCCACCTTCTTTTAGTATCAAGACCGCCTGTGTGTTTTCTACCCGCCCCTGCAAAACAAAAGAAACATTTGTACTTACATTTTTGCTGGGCAAATGACCGCAAATATGAAAACTTCTCATGTAGTTTAACTGTATTTCATTTTCATGTACATTAGGAATATTACATTAGGGAAATTTATTTAGAAAAAAAAAGTTTTGTCGGTAGATTTAGATTTATACATATTCTTGACTGTCGGCATGAATTTACTGTGCTATTAAGAAGAAATATCTACATGAAATACTGGACATAAGGCTTTATTACCAAGGGAATAATTAAGTAATTATCTGTGTTTAGGACTGGCTGACTACGGTTTGAAAAGCCTCTTGAAGTGCCACTCATGTAAGAATTGTACAAGACGTGCACATGCCATAATATTTTCATAAAGGAATAATGAATAATGCAGAAGAAAAGAATGTGCAGAAAATGTATCATGAATGTTTCTTGAATGCACTTTAGGGTATACAGTAGCACAAGCAGATTGCAGTAATTAATTGGGGATGTCCCTACCTGAGTTACATCTTGTTTAGGTGATAGTATGACATGTGATGGAATGGCTTGTGCAATAGGAGCTGAATCATTGAGCTGATGTTTGACATCATGCAACTTGATCATGGATGACTCCTGTATTTTGAGTGGAAAGGAGTCTATAAATTTATGAGGAAGAATCTTGCATTATCACATCATCTGCTTACACTTCCAGAAAAAAAGGAGCCAAATCCGGTACAGTTTTGTTACAAACAGCATTAATGTACCCTCAATGGTACAAAAATATTACATTTCTATACCTTAGAAGGTAAATTTACCTACAGCTAAGGTACAATTGGCAGAGCCTTGAGGGTACAGCCCCAGTGACAAGTAATTGTACCCTCAAAGGTCTAAATTGGTATGTTTTTTTATATATGGTATCCTTTGGGAGTGGGGGTGCGGACAGCTGAAACTGATAAATACACCTCAGCAAACTGGACGGGGGAAGTAGGGTCCAGGTGAAATTTGATAATAAAAAGGAGGCAATTCAAAATGGTATGCTCTAGTTTTTCATTTCTGTGTCTGCTTGTGTTCCATCAGCTGTGAAAGATAACACATTGTCATGTTACACATCCAGGCCCTGCCTTCTGACTGCAGCATCTGTGAATATATACTAATTTAACATGCTTCAAGAAAAACCAGAAAGACAATAAGTCGAGGTGGAGATAGCTAAATCCTTATAGTAAATGAGGGAAATTTAACTCCCAGGTTTAGTCCATCATATCTTGACTACTTTTAAGGAGATTTTTAAAGAGTTAATCAACCCATTGAGTTGTTTTTGAGTAGATCTATCTGAAGAGCACAGAGTTGATTTACTACATAATACAGAATTATATACCCTGTTCAATGAGGTATTGTACAAGTTACTTACATTCACTGAACATTTTATTCAGAACACATGCACACCTGCTTATTCATGCTGTTGTCTAATCAGCCAATCATGTGGGAGTGGCGCAATGCATGAAAACACACAAGTCAGGAGCCTCTGTCTATGTTCCTACACCAGATCTCCTGGAATTTTCACGTACAACAGCTTTTACTTAGAATTGTGCAAAAAACAAAAAGCATCCGATGAGTGGAAGTCCTGCTGATGGAAATGCCATGTTGATGACAGAGGTCAGGGGAGAATGGTTAGACTGGTTTGAGCTGACAGAAAGGCAAAAAGTAACTCAGATGACTACTTTGTACAACTGTGCTGAGCAGAAATGCAACTCAGAATGCACAACACGTTGAACCTTGAGGCATATGGGATAGAATAGCAGGAGACCACAGGGTGCCAGTCCTGTAGGCTAAGATCAGGAAACTGAGGCTACAGTGGGCACATGAGCACCAAAATTTGACAATGGAAGAAAACGTTGCCTGGTCTGATGAATCCTGATTTCTGCTGAGGCACACAGATGGTAGGTTCAGAATTTGGCACCAACAGCATGAATCTATGGACCCAACCTGCACTGTGTCAACAGTCGATGCTGGTGGTGGTGATGTGGGAAACGTTTCCTTGGAACACTTTGGGTCAGGTAATACCAGTTGATCATCGCTCGAATGTCACAGCCTATCTGAGTATTTGTTGGTACAGTTGCTTGAGTCAGACTCATGGTCTTTTAATGACTAATTCCAGCATGACAATGCACCATGTCACAAAGCGAATGTCAATGACAATGACTTCAGTATTCTTCAGTGACCTGCCTAATCATTGTATCTGGATCCAATTGAACACCTTTGGGATGTGGTAGAATGGGAGATTCACAGCATGGATGTGCAGCTGGCAAATTTGCAGAAATTCTGAATAATGCAAACATGTCGGCATGGACCAGAATCTCAAAGGGATGTTCCCAGCATCTTGTGGAATCCATGCCACAAAGATCTGAAGCAGGTTCTGAGAGGGTGATCCTACTCAGTATTAGTACATGGTCCTTAATGAAGTGCTCTGTGAGTGTATATAAAATTAAAAAAATGCTTCATACTATCTCAAGTCATGCTGATTCTGGAATCTTCCAGAAGATTAATAATGAAGTTGCTAATAAAGACTGACAAGAGGACTAATTCACAAGCTGCTTCCCAGTTGTCATGTATACATAAAACCAATTGCGGAAAAATGATGAAATCTGGCCAGAGATGAAAAATGAATGGCTTTTATATCTCTCCTTTTGCATCGCAATATATTACCTACCTTTCCCCCTTTTCTGTGTTTCACTTATGGATCTCTTTTACATGCTGTGACCTCATTATCCAGGAATTTGTCAAGATTTAATGTTATTGTTATTTTGTGCCTCTGTTTTGAGAACAAAATTATGGTAACTATCTGTCAAATACAGGGAAGGAGGTTAATCAGACAAATGTAGAATGTGCCTATAGACAGACAAACTCTAATGATCACTCACAAATTGTGTGTTATTTAAAGGTAGGAATATCTATTCCAGAGGTTAGTGGTTGGACACAAAATCACGATTTTGTAATGTTTTTTGAGCTAAGATGACATTTTGGGGTCATATAAATTGTTTGATAAATTTCTAAGTCTACCCAAGTGTGAATACGGAGATAAATTATCTGAATAATACCTGGATACAGTAATAATATTTATATATAAACAGCAGAGTAAACCTTGGCTGTACATAATAAAACTTTCCAATTTTTTTCTTGTACAACTTGATTTACATGGCACAGGCTTACAGACTGAGCCCAGTTATCAATGAATGCATCATTAATGCGTCTAATTAATGTATCATTTGTGTAGTGTATGTGTATAAGGAGTTCTCCAAGTATTACAAGCAATGTTTTAATTGCTACATTTTTATGACAATTTGAACCATTTAACAAAGAAAATGCTCTTTTGTTTCTGTTTCAGATAAACACCATTGGCCTGTTCAACTCCTTCCATGACAATGTCTTTCTTCAAATCTGGAGGGATTATCTTCACCTTTGCCTTCATGATCAGCAGGTATGTCAAGAGAAAATACAGGGATTTTTTTGAAAACCAATTCATGTTTTGGTTATTGCCTGAAATATTCACAATGGCAGCTTTGAAAAAATAGATTTTTTTTAGCTGGTACAAACTTGAGTCATGGATTATTAATAGCTTTAGAGACATTTCCAGTATACAGAGGTGGTTTATGTGGTTCTTTAATGTTAATTTCTCTGTACAATGAGCATTAATTGCAAGCTTTTCATGACTGAATGATACAGTAAATACTTTAACTTTATTTTTGAATGAAGTTAGTTTTCATATAGCATTGTTTGCAGAATTGTTTGCAATGTCTTAATTCATCATGTGATCAGAATTTATGGTGCATAACCTTTTTAGTTATTTTAACCTCTTATTTGATAATTAGTCAGTTGTTTATTTTCCTGTGTTCCCTTCTACTGCCTTTGAAAATCATTGTATGTTACTTAGAGCTTAATTTTTCAAATCTCATTTAAGAAATTTTAGAGGCTTAGTTTCTTAATTTTTTTGTATTGGCATCAAATCAGTTTCAATTCTAAGATCACACAACATTGCACCCATATGGGAATTTTTTTGGCTTCCTGAGATGAAAAGATCACGAAGCTTAGGACTCATATCTGCATTTTGCCATCTGTGATAAACATGTGGCATAACATCAGTGTCCTCAAGAGATAAAAGACCATCTTAGGCTAATGTGCCCTGTAAACATAACATTTAGATCTGAAGCATCACAGAAAATCCTAACTGGATAAATAATTGTTGAGTGAGTTATACTGTATACGGTGAGGAATAACATCTGAATTACTGTCAAAGAAGGATGAACAGCAATTCAAAATGGATTTTGTGTTTGTGTTATTTCAGCCTACTAGTTGAGTACTATGTGAGTGTAGCTCTTTATACTTTTTACTTTCTGGACCTGAACTATCCACCTTTGTTGAAGGCAGGCATCCTTTGCAGCAAACAGAAAAATAACTGAAATATCAAACGATGTATTATCCCTGTATCTGAATTTCTATGTTTACATCGTAATGTATAAACACATTGTGTACACAAAATTTTGAATATCTTTCATTAATCAGTAGTATATAAATCACCAATAGTATTGCAATACAGTTATTGCACAAACCCAGTATTTATTTAACACTTCTGTTTAGTTTTACCTGTAACCTTATGCTTTTTCTTTTTTTAAGAATTATTTTAAGATGCACAAAACTTAAAAGATAAATAATATCATGATATTACAATGGATGCAAACAATTCAGTTATCGCATTACATTATTAGTCATGCATCACTGTCAAACCAATCAAAAGCAGTGAGATACTTAATTTATTCAGTGTCTGTTAATAACAATTAAAAATGTCACCATTACCAAATTATTTGGGTGTTCTATACAATACAGTGCATACGCCTTCATAATGTTTTAGTGTCTTGCACAACCAGTTACACTTTTGAATTATAGGATATCATTTAAAGTAAAAATAAGAAACTGATGCAAAAATAAAAATAAAATATAAATAATAACAGGAATGAGCTGGGTTGGGTTCCAAGCTCAGGGTCTGTGTCTTTTCATTCAGGACAACAAAACATAATCCAAAAGTAATATGTAAGAAAAGACATAAAACAGGTAAGGGTTGTAACAGGAAATGAGAGAGAACCAAACTCAAATCACTGGGTTTATGTCACAGTCACAGTCACAGTCACAGTAACACAGGCAAGAAGTCAGTAACACGGAGGAAGTCAGAAATTGCAAAAAAAATTCTTAGTGCTCCACAAATGTCACATGGGTGTTGATTATTTTCATGTGATTGCACAGATACTTCCAGATATGCAGATACTACTTTTGTTAACCGTATTTGTTTAAGCGGTTATACGAATATAATCAACTCCAATTTGCTTAGTGGGCTGCATACACCTGGTTGTCCTTGATTATTTTAATATAACTGCACACCTCATTGTGGTTCATCGCTTACATATGACATTGAACAATGGCAGTATTTAAGATATACTGTAGTAAGCACGTGATATTAATTAACCAGGGGGTATTTCACCAAGCAGAATTTCTTGCTTAGCCAGATAACTTGTCAGGTTTAAGGTACTCTGAGCTATGTTGAAGTGGATGAAGATATAGTCCATTTAGCCCAGACTACCTTAAATCTGACAAGTTATCCAGCTAAGTAAGAAATGCTGCATCGTGAAATACCCCCAATTATCTGCAATCTGTGGACTTAATTCTGAATCTGCAGGGTGATGGAATGACAGTTACAAGAGTAACGCAGGTACAAATTTTAGCCGGGAAAAGTAATACTAAGAGTGTTCTAGTTTCCTGTACTTACTGAGGTTTAACTGCATTTTCACCACAGGCCTGATATGATCATCATCAGAGGGATGACTAGTGAATGACAAAAGGTTTACCCAAATGGGTTGAAAATCTCAAACCAAGCCAGGATATGTATGTTCAAAAATGCCTTGCTGAGGGATTTTCGTTCTGTCGAATTCTCAGACCCTTGTTGATTTTAAAAGCATTGCAAACCTTTCTTATAAACCCTATTCTTTCTGAGAATATGAAGTATGTTTTGACAGGTCTTTGTTCTTTCTCCGTTTCATATTTCGCAAGCTCGCTCTCTGTGACGCAACAAAACCATGGAAACTGTCTGTTTCAGTATGAACTTTTTTCACGCTTTAGACCTCCCTGGTAATTCTAGGTTTGCATGAAAACCAGTACGGCAGGAAGGTCATACATAGGATAATGTTTTGTTCATTGATGCATTTCCCTAGACTTAAAAGTAAATTTTTATTAAATATTAAGACTCTTTTGGTGCAGATAAGGATTTAGGTGGTTGGTGCACTACGTAATTCTTCCCAATTTGTATTGCAGCTAACAGAGTAAATATGCTTAGGCTAAAATTATTAACAGAGGCGGTAGAGCTTAGAGCGGCTGGCACTGCGATCCTGTTTGCCCACTCATTACTAAGCCTCTCTTCTCCACTATCTTTCTGAACCAAACTACAGCAGCTCCCTGAAACATTTGCAAAAACAACACAAAGTTCTCTGCATAATTGGACTATACAGTATGTCGGCCCACCAAGCCTTATTTCCAGCACCCTTATTTTATGTCATCATTGTTGCAAAAGAAAACAAATGCTGCTCCTATTTTGTGTCATCATTAATGGAAAGTGTCATTGGAAAACCCTGCATTCCCTGACAGCCTTTCAAGTAATACACACAAATATAACCAGAGGTGTCCTTTCAGCATTAGTTTAGATTTTTTTCCTGATCTAATAACAATTAGTATTGATTCAAATTGATATGTTAATCAATTGAAAGTGAGGATGTGTCATGCAAATGCAATACTTATTTTTAGGGGTGTCGTTAGGCCTGTTTTAGCCCCCCAACATAAATGTGTATTTATTGGCTTAAGTCATGAATAGTTTGCCATCAGCCCCCCCCCCCCCCAGTAAAGACTCAGCCACCCTATCCATTCATCACTAACTATGGCCCTACTTATTTTAAACTTACCTGTGTAAAATTGCACCAATGGATATAGGCAAGGCTTCTTGAAACAATGTCTAAAGAATGTTATGGTTATTTAAATAATGAACTAAATTATGCAAATGAATGTATGCATGACACGTGGGTTTCCGCTAGGTAAGCAAACTGAAGCCTCCAAATTTGCCATGTTTTGCATATGTGTACCTTGCATACCCTGCAATGAACTGGCTTCCGAGCCAGGCTGTACCCCTGTCTGGTATCATGTGCTTCCAGGAATAGCAAACTAAAAATTGTAAGTTAATAAAAACGTTATTGAAGATTATTATATTGTTGATGTGATATTGGCTCTTGAAATTTCCTGGTGAGCTAGTATAGATAGTAGTAGATTATCTATAGTAGTATAGATAATCTAGCAGTAGTGTGGAAACAGATACACTCTTCTGTTTCATAATCCTGTTTTACAGGGGCGTCATCAGCATTGTCACATTCGCACACACGTATCATTAAGTCTGCCTGCATCCTCCCGCACACGCTCATAGAGTACATCTGTCTCTTTGTCCTGGGGGGGGGGGTGGTCTGCACCCCCTTTGCAGAGCCAAGAAAAGCGGGACTAAGACAGGAGCGCAAAGATGATTTGAAGGTACCGTGAGGAATGGCGGCAAGGGGCTGGCCGCGGGGCAGAATGATCTGTTGTGATGTGGTGCTGCTGACACGTTGCCTTCAGAGGGTGAAGCAGACAGCTCCGGGCAGGCTTCAAGTCAGAGGCGTAGTATTAATAAACACAGGTACCCGTGCAAAGGAAGTCTCTATAAGAGCTGCAGCCATTATGCATCAGCTGGCTGCATAGCAACCACTCAACAAAAACAGGCTAATTAATAACAGTCACAGGTGCTATTTATAGAGGAACAACTTCATTCCCTTAATGCATCGGTCAACAAGGCATCTTTTCCTCGCCAGTTTTCTCTTTGATCTTTTTCGCTGTTTCACCAGAGGATTCAAGTCTATTGCACTTTTTTATGAAAGGTTTTTGTCTTCTGAACTTCAAGGTAGTTTTTTTTCCCCTAGCCAGTAGAATTGCATTTCAGTTCACAGCTACTGTCAGCAGCAATGCATAAGACCATTTAATCAGAGGTAATTAAACTAATTGCAAATCATCCACAGCTGTGTTGATTAATATACTGTTGGTGGATGTTTATTCACTCTGGCTTTAAGGAGAATAAGACAGCACTGAGTCTTCCTCATGGTACATTATCATCGTAAAGCTAACTGAGTGCATGTTGGTGTGCTATTAAACATGATGATGTTGAAACAAATCAAAAGTTTTGGTTTCCTAAGCTAGACACATGGGTCTGAGGGGGGGGAGGAGTCAACTAATGGGAACCCAGACATGGAATTTATTGGCCAAATTATAACTCCTGTAATCAAATAGTCGAAGTTGGTACAGTTGCTTGAGTCAGACTCAGGTCACTGCAATGAAGGGCAAAGCAAAGTGGGCTGACGAGGTGGTCAGCACAGTGGCCTCATAGCTCTGGAACCCGGGTTCATGCCTCCACCAGGTTTCTGTGTCTGGAATGTTTGTGTGTCCTCCTCATGTTGTCATGAGGCTTTCCCCAGGTACTCGTCTCCCCCCCCCCCCCAGCCCAAAAACATACTTGAACTTAATTGAAGTTCCCAAAGTGCCTATATATGAGTGTAGCCTGTGGTGGGTGTGGGTAGTAAATTCGATAAGGCCGTTCACTTCTCTGGCAAGAGGGGACCGAGTGATGGTGCGTGGGTGAGACTGAGGTGTGAAAGGACATGACAACTTTCTTGATCCCTGCCTGGCAATTAGGGCACTAAGACATTAGTGGATTAATTACTGTTGCTTGGCATAATGTGCGACGTTAAACCTGTTAAACAGAAACAATCTATTTAGTCAGCTTTTGCAATCCAGTAAAGCAATACATGCATAGAGCATGAGACCCAAGCATGCAGAAAGTGTATCAACATTCCTGTTTATAGAAATAGGCCTCTGTGCAAGACTCAGGCTAAAAGCATGTTAGCAAATCACTGCCACATTTTGCTCATCCATCCATCCATCCATCCATTTTCTATAACTACTTCCACAATACCTGTGATGGGGTTAATGGTTAGCCTGAAATCTATCCAGGGAAGTACAAGGTACAAGGCAGGACTGGGATACTTCTGCACAAATTCCAGCATAGTTGCTCAAAGTGCTTAAAAATATTTAGCCTCAAGAACAGCATCGTAGATGGATGTAACAGCATTTAAAGATATTCAGTTCAATACAAACCTCAATGGAAGACAAAAGACATATACTCTAGAAGAGAAAGATCTAAGTCACTGGAAGTCTATGGCAAACTGGAAGTTAAAGTGAAGCATTTCTTGCATAGTATTCCTTTTGTAGAAGCTAGAATGCTGAATACACCTAAAATTCTTTGCTTTCCTTCATAGGGTCTGTAGCAACATTTTCTTATTTTATGTCACCATTACTACGTCCAAGGAATTCAAAAGAATGACAGCATCCCATCACAAGTTTGATTAGTGAACAGAGATTAGGTCAGCAGGCAGGAGATGTGGTCGGGGATGTAGTGAGGGCAGGTCGGTTGCAGGAGAGATCAGTCCTGGATGCCGAACAGAAACACAGGGAAACGCAAGCGGGCAGGAGCAGGCTGGATGAGCAGGGCAGGCAGGACAAGTGAGGCAGGCAGGATAGACTGGGCAGGGAAGGCGGATGAGACAGGGTAGGTAAAGCAGGTGAGGATGAAGCAGAACGCAGGAGATAGAAGACAAGGAGATTTACACACTTGGTACAGCTCATTAGAGGGCAACAATACTTCGCTATGGTTGCGAAGGCCAGCCAGTTTATATGAAGCTGCACAGGCGGAAGTACGATGACGTTAATTGGTTTGCCCCGCCCTGCGGGGCGTGTCAGGACAACTGGGGTCAGAAACAACTTAGTGTGGAAAACACTCATTATGCATGTGATTCGCGTCTCTTGCAGGATCATGGAGAACTCATTACTCAGCGCAGAAGCAAAAGAGGGAGAGATCCTTCCACCCACCATTCAGAAGCTGATGAAAGGATACAACAAATACCTTCGTCCTTTCTTTGATAGTAAGGAGATGCATGTCATTAGAAAATCAGGCAGCTGTGCTATATCTCTTGTCTGTATTTCCAGAAAGTGGACAGCCTGGTATTTTGCAAGATGAAACATTTTGAGTGTAATTGAGTGAATAAATAATTCACTTTTTTTATTTACATAGCATATAATAACTACACTTAAATATTTTCGTTAGAAGATTACATACATTGCCAAATAACTTTGCAATAATAATAAAATGAGATTAATAATATGAAATATAATTTGTTTTATTGCGCCTTTCACAAAGAACAGAACCGGATCCCTGTGTATCCTTTGAAGTAAATTTCAGCATAAATCCTAGAAAATTATTGCACTATTCCTCTTGTTTTCACAGTCTGTCTAAAGCTGATTATGCCTTGTAAAAATATCATTTACTGTATGCTGTTCCATTATAAAGTCACAAAAGAGGCATAAAAGAGCATTGGGTATAAAGTAAAACTGAAAATGTATGAAGGGGTGTTATGCATGTCATGTGGAAACGTTCCACACATCTCTTACTTGTCATTTGCACAATGACTTAGTTAATTTACCTTCTTGCAATAGTCTTTTCTATTTAAAAATGTTGTTTTGGCCACTTATATCTTCTTTTCCTGCTTGGATATTTTACTTAACTTTCACTTTGAAATAGTTTTTTTTCTTCAGAAAATAATTGTGTTAATTCCCTTTGGGATTAGTATCTCTAATTTGTTTAAAAAAAAAAAAAAACAGATTTCTGGCTTCTGTCTCATCCTGCTTAATGTATGCTGTATCATTTCCCTTCATATTTGTTAAAATGCAACAATGTCACTTCCTGTTTTGTCCTCAGATGGGCCTGTGACAGTGGGCATGAGTTTGGATATTGCAAGTATTGATACTATATCAGAAATAAACATGGTGAGATACCTCAAACTTCACCCATGTTCTCATCATAGAATCCATAAATGCTAATGACTACAAATTTCTAACATTCTGTAACTCTAATTCTGACTAGCATAACTGGTACCGTCTAGTAAATCTTGTTAAAGTAGAACGTCTGTTTGTTTTCAGGAATACATTGTTATATATAATTTACATTACTTGAACTACAACTCCTGAGGTACTATAACCCATGAATATATTGTTATGTAACAAACTCCCCCTGTGCTTCTGCAGGATTATACTGCCACTATATTCCTGAGACAGCGGTGGACAGATGAACGCCTGTGTTTTGACGGAAACAAGAGCCTAAGCTTAGATGGACGGCTGGTGGAGCTTCTGTGGGTGCCTGACACTTTCATCGTCGATTCAAAGAAATCCTTCCTCCATGACATCACAGTGGAGAACAGACTCATCAGGATATTTCCCAATGGGACGGTTCTTTATGCACTAAGGTGTGTCAGTTCTTATTGACAGATTGTTGCATGATTAAAACGAGCTACATTTAGTGCAAGTTAAGCAATATTAAAATAGACATATTGCTGTATTTTTTTGCATAGAAAATTGAATGTATAGATATGGTAAAGAATAGCATTTGTTAATCCTTAGATGAAATCTGTTACTTGCCAATGAATTGCCGTGTCTGCTTTTTAATTTAGGATCACCACAACTGTGGCCTGCAATATGGATCTAACCAAATATCCTATGGACAAGCAGACCTGCACACTGCAGCTCGAAAGCTGTAAGGACAGGTTACATCATGTGCAAAGCCGAGGCATATTCCGGTTTACAGGATTTAAAGTGACAGATATGTTTTTGGAACTTGTGGTTCATGGAAAATAGGAAATGACTCTATGAGATTACAAACTCCCCACAATGTGTCTTCACATTGTCCACTTCTTAGCAAACTCTAGTATTGTTTTCTGTTGCCCACTTTAATTATTATGGTGGTGCATTTATGTGTCCCACGTTACAGCATTGTTTAAAGGTATTTATCCAGCTCTATCAAGTACTTTGGTCATTCGGCAAGTTTTTTACCTCTACACTACTTATAAGCCTAACCACAAATCGCAAATTTGGATTACTGGAATGGTGTAGGACTGAGTGACATACATTTGTAGTCAAAGCATAAATCAAAATCCCTTCATAATGTAATCCAACCCTTTGCAAAACATGGAAAGTGTTTATGAGAGATTTAGATAGGTTCACCTAATGATGAAACTCATTGTTGGAGCATTAAAGAAGCATTGTGAATTGTTCTGATCCACCATAACATACAAGAAAAAAAGTTAATCTGTAGCACCCTCTAGAGGACAGAAGTCATATATGTCTCATTTTTCACTGTAGATGCTCTTCATTCAGAACATCCATCCATCTTCTATATCAGTACAGTTACAGTGGCTTATTACATTTTATGAAAATTAGATACAAGTCTTTTATTATTAAGATATCCTTCATTTTCTGGCCCTTGTTACTACTTACTTGAAAGCTGGATAACATTTCTAAAAATAATTTTTCTCCACTGTCGGGTTGATATGCCATAGCATTCTATGGTATTTTAATATTCAGAAATACTGTGCAAAAATATGCTGTGCCATCAAGTGGTTTGATTAAATGTGTGTTTAGAAATATGGATAGAGTTATTAATGTGATATACTGTATATATATCACTATATACTGTATATATATTTTGTTTGTTTTTACAGGGGGCTATAACATCAATGATGTGATGTTTTATTGGACCAGAGGCAATGATTCTGTTAGCGGGATAGACTCTCTCCGTCTGGCACAGTACACTGTGGAGGATCACTACACCTCTGTGTCAGAGGCCATCTATGAAACAGGTACTGCTCCGGTCCAGCGCTTAGCGTTTCATTGGTGAAATCCACTCTGCACTCTGTAGTCCATGAAGACCTGAGAACGAGGACCTGGTGCCGCGGTGCTACAGGATACCCATGTCTCTCCTTACTTAAGGGGCATCACACCTTCTTAGCTGTTCTCTTCTTGAGAATCTGCACTCTCTGTTTGCATTTATAAATACTGGCAGAGTTATTCTTATTGTCAATTTTGTCTTCAAAATGTGTGCAAGTGAATAAATAGTAAAATATGGAAAATTAAAGCTTGTAACTGGATTGGTGTTTTTTTAATGTTACTTTATGTATTGTAGGCAGTTATCCCAAACTGATCTTCCACTTTGAACTGAAGAGGAGCATTCTCTACTTTATATTGGAGACTTATGTTCCTTCCAGCCTGCTGGTGGTCTTGTCATGGGTGTCTTTCTGGATCAGTCAGTCCTCTGTTCCTGCTCGCATTTGTATAGGTACCCCGTCATATTATGTCTTAGTATGCATCTGGACAGGTGCTCCATCTTTCAGTACCTTTGCACTATGAACTGCACTTAGTTCAAGATGTGCTTCAAAACGCACCTGTGCATACAGTACTGTGCAAAAGTCTTAGGCAGTCAAAGGAAATAAAGCTATTTATCTGGGCAATAAGTCTATATGTGCTCAAAACAAAAAGTGCAGTTGAACATTAGAACAGATGCAAATTATGAGTAATTTGAGCAATAATAAAAAGTAATAAAAATTTCCTTTGTTCTCCAAAAAACTACTGACATATTGCATGGATAGATGAATACTACTTAAGTTCCCAAACCTCTCCTCAGGGGCACCTCAGCCATTCCATGTTTTCATTATATTTCAGGATCAGCTCACTTAATTCAGTGTTTCTCAAACCAGTTCGCAGGCATCCCCAGACGGTCCATGTTTTGTTCTCTCCCAATTCCCTGGGAGTTGGGAGGGAGTAAAAACATGGGATGTCAGGGGATGCCTGCGAACTGGTTTGAGAAACACTGTCTTAATTGAATAACTAAATTCACTTAAAATGTAATTGAGGCATTGATTAGCCATAGAAGATGGGGTAGCGGTCAAGTCAAAAAGTACATGGGTGTGTTGGACGATTGTTGCTGGTTTTTAAATGGTTAAGCTAACACTTTGACAGACATAATATCATAGTTTTACACCAACATAAAGATCATTTAAACATTAAATTCAATTCAATTCAGTTCAATTAAATTCAAATCAGATCAGTTCAATTCAATTTACTTTTATTGGGCGCCTTTCACAACAGAGTCATCCCAAGGTGCTTTACATGGGTATGTTGTGAAACAGTGCAATGTCACAAAGAGAGAACAATACAAAAACAGGGAAATGGAAAGGCAAAGAAATAAAAGAAAACCAGATGACAATGGAGGAGAGGAACCAAAAACCCCTGGGGGTCCAAGGTCAACTGGCTGCCCAACCCCCGGACATGCTAGCATTATAGGAGAAAGAAAAGAGTGGGCTTACTTGCCAAAAGCAAGGTGTAAACTATAATCAAGTCAAGCCAAAGTCCATCAATGACTCGATCCTTTATGCCGGCCTGTGCAGGGTGCAGATTGAAGTCTGCACCCACAATGTTACAGTTCATCTGTCACATCCACAATGTCACCCTTCCATGGGACTGGACCAGGACTGCCCCGGGCGCCGTCCGGACACCTGGGAAGGAAGGCAGAGAGCATTTTCTATAACAGCCTAAGACTTTTGCACAGTACTGTATATGTATAGAGTATATGTGCTTTTGGCATTTTTAAGCGTTTATTTGGTGTCCTACTCTAGCACGTTACAGCACTAACATATGGTGTAATATAAATCTTGTGACCTTCTTACGCGGCATATCATATGAGAGGTGCTGTCTTCTGTAGGGGTGACCACAGTGTTGACCATGACCACGCTGATGATGGGAGCTCGAACCTCCCTGCCCAATGCCAACTGCTTCATCAAAGCCATCGATGTGTACCTGGGAATCTGCTTCAGCTTCATCTTCGGAGCGTTGATAGAGTATGCTGTTGCCCACTTCTGTACCCTGCAGCACTCCGGTGCCCAGAATACATTCACGGTGAGGCCTTGTCACCATCATCACGGAGGGTCATTACCATCATCAGCATCATCATCCTTGTCTACATAGTATGTATCTCCAGTATAAATACAATGGTGAAACTCATTCTTACTGTATGACCGTTATTATCAGTCGCTATTGTAAAGCATAATTGCTGCATATCTTGTGCCCCATCTCTGCATTATTTGTCTTAATGTCTTTTCATTCTGTATATAAACTGCCATGTTACATACTGGAATATTTCAATCTACTTCATTATTGTAAACATTACAATATATCACGGGGATGGTACAGTGGCACAGTGGTTAGCACTGTTACAGTACCTCACACCTCTGGGACTGGGGTTTGCATCTCTACCCAGGTTCTACCTTTGTAAAGTTTGCATGTTCTCCCTGTTTTCATCCTGGGATTTAATCTGGGTTCTCCAGCGTTCGCTATAATCCAAATAGATGCTATGGTGAACTGAAGTTGCCAAGATGTCAGTAGATGTGAATGGTGTGTGTGCCCTGCAATGGGTTGGCACCTCATCCTGGGTTGGATCTGTAACATCTGGAATAGACAGTGGCTGGACAATACAACATATCATAACACTGACCGCTGCTGTTACGTAGATACTAACACAATGAGAGGGGCAAGCCACATATCAGGGAGACTTTGGAAGTTCAGCCCAGGCAAGCTATCAGTGAAGACATTTTTATTCTATCTTTTTGCATTTTTATAATACCTTAATCAAAGCTAGCAGGTTCTATGCTGGACATATAGTCAGGGACTCTGATGTTTTCCTCCCACCTTCACAGCAGTGTAGACACGGTGTGCTGGACTGTGATCACGATGTGAACGGCACGGTCAGGACCATCGCCAGCGAATCTCATCACTCCAAGAGAAGTCCATCCGGATCTGAGAATAAGGATGAGGTGCAGGGCTGCTGTGGGAAATCCCTGTCTCTCCTCAAGGGGGCAGCACACCTCATTAGCTGCTGTCGTGTTGAGAATCCGTACTACATTGATAACTATTCCCGCATTTCCTTCCCTTTGTCCTTCATCCTCGTCAATCTGCTCTACTGGACTTACTACCTGTACTTCTAACATCTGGATGTACGCGTTTGTGAGTCCAGTAACTGTTTATAGGACCTTGTTTAAAAACAAAAGCCCCGCCCCTCCAACATTAGCATCACTCTGGTGTGTGGTGAGTGACAAGTCCCTCAGTGTATCATCAAAATGCATGCTGTGATGCTGACAGCCAAACATTACTGAGGACTGCTAGAACCAGTCTGGATTGGGTTGATAAATGAAAAGCGCAAGAGTATTTTTTCAATTATTGAAAGTAGTTCTTCATAAAAAATACATATTGAAATCATTATTTATTTCTTTTCCTTTGTGAGTTTATAGAGATTTTAGAGATTAAAGGACAAAATGATCTGAGGCATATACATTTTACATATGTACATGTTGCCCAGAAAATGAGAGGACCAAAGATATAAATGTTGAAGTGCAATGCAAATTTGTTACACTACTGATCTGACACCTTCAATTCAGTTATGAGAAAGACTCACTGAAAGAAACACAGTTTATCCAAAACAGCAGGAGTATAATGCTGCATTGCTGTTTACTCTATGCATGATAAATTAAAGTTTCTGTTTTGTTGTGCATTATAGATATATTTTTCATCTGCCACTCTAAAGGAAAGTAGAAGTATAGTGGATATAAATGCACCTTTAGCTTCTAGGCTCGCTTTAATGAGAGTATGGAACTCATTAGTGATCTAAGTTGCTTAACTTTACACTCTTATGCATGCTTCTTTATCATTTCTATATATTTGTTCTGTAGGTAGCCTTTTCTGCCTAGTGAAACAACCTTATTATCCGGAATTTCCACATACATAATGTTTTATACTTTTTAGTATTTATTCTTGTTTAAAAATTAATTTAAAAAAAATAGTATTTAAAAAAATACTCCAAATGGTGAAAGTTATTTGTTTATTTATTATGATTTGTTTTCAAGTATGATTTTTAAACCTGTCAAATAAACTTCTCATAATTATAAAAGTTATTATGTATAATTTATGATAATCTCGCCTATACACAATAACATAATGTGTTTTTAAATCTGTATTTATATAAGAGCTGCATCTTGCATAAGTTTTAAAGGTCCTGCAGCAAAGATATTTTCTTGCTACATGGACAGTTAAAATCTGTATTTATGCTTTAGCTTCAAATTATGCTTTAAGGTGAAATAATGTTAGAGTATATTATATGTACGTTTTTCATTGGTGAATGAACAAATCACATTAAGTCACTGATTTTAATAAATTGGTTATAAATTGGGTAATGTTTATTGATAAAGGGTTAACATATAAAAAATGACCTTATAAAAAGAGATTTCATTCATTTGTGTCCTTTTAAGCTATAAAATAAGACATTGAAATAAAAATAAAGTTTATGGGAGTTTCTAAGCTTTTGAATTTTCCATTCATTCATTGCTGTTTTTCCAAATATGCATTTTCTCTATAATACAATAAGGTTTACCAAAACACAGCAGTATAACTGTCTCACAGTGAATGTATCTTGAAGATGATCCTGGTGGCCACTATTTCTCAGTTTAGACAAAAACTAAGACAATACTAATTGAACAGAACCGGCATTTTTCAGGTTAACATTTTAAAAGAATAAACTATATACCTCCGTTGCTGGGTGTATCAAATTATTGCCAGCTTCCAGTGGTAGTTCTAGAACATTCTCACAGACCCCTCAGTCATCTTCTTTGAGATATATCTGTACTGTAATATAATATGTATTTTGTTATTATTAAAATTTCTTTAAAATACATTGATAAATTTTGCATGTTTATTTGTTGTTTAACTATTAAATATAATTTAAAAAAATACTAAGACATGTCTGGGTAATTGTGTGGGAAAAGGAACAGACAAATTACATCTAATGGAAACTAATTACGGCATATATCACTAAATAACAGGTATAGCAATGTAATGGATTAAAATATATTATTGAGCCTTAAGTTTTGTTTAATGAGTTCAAACACAAAACAAGTTAGGGAGCATAATCTTTTCATTTGAAGGTCAGAGGTCAGATGACACACATCCTACAGTACCTATGAGATGAAACCCACAATAGCATACAAGATCAGTTGGGCTGGAAGTAGTTGCGCTGAGAGTGGTTCAGCTCCCCCTCTGGTTGTTGTCGGTATTGCATTGTCAACACTGTAGGGCAGCATGCCCTTGTATAGCTTTAGTCAAAGGAAACTACAGTGTTGCAGTGGTTACACTGCTGCCTCACACCTGTGTTCAGGTCTCTACCACACCTCCGTGTGTGCAGGTTTTCCACATGTCATTGTAAGGTTTCCTCTAGGTGCTCTGTTTTTCCCCAACAGTGCAAAAGCATGCCGAGGTTAACTGAGCTTACTAAATTGCCTGTGTGTGCACCTGTATGACGTCGTCCTCCACCCAAGTCCGAGAGCGTTCATTTGGAATGACAAGTAAATTACGGATTCTTTACCAACCAAAAATGTAAAATACATCTCCGTTCTTTCCTCTAATTCGTGCTCCTCTAATTCTCTTGTGCCCTACGTTATATTACATTCCTCAACCAGACACACCAGGAGAGCTGTAATCATTGGTCCATATTTATTTCATTTAAAAATCCAAGAATTAAATAAGCAAATAAGTTCAGTACTTTATCACAGCATGCTGCCTGCAGATGAACAGGTAATGCACAGCCTGACATAGGTCTACTTATTATGAACTATGCAACAGGAACTTACAATGAACACTGATTCCCACTCACGGACTGGCTTCATGATGAAAGAACTGAAAATCCCCAGTACAGATTCTAGCAGCTAAATACACAGTGGTGTGATCTGAGCTGGCATGAATAATGCGATAGGCCACAGTAGCAGAGGAACTGTTACTGTGGTAAAGGGCTTTTATAACACCTCTGCATGAAAAACTGTAGGAGTGGCAGTAAAGCTGTGGACGATTCTGGCAGTTTAGGATAGTGCACATTTACTGAAGAACACATGCTGGATTCTTAAAACGCTGTTAGTGCAAAGATTAATCATATGGCCGAAATATGATGAACCCAAGAATAATGTATAATTATCTTCACAGATTATGGATTATGAATACTAGTTTAATCAAATATTACATATCTCATGGGGAAAGACTGCATAATTTCATTCTCAATAGACATAAAATTTCCTTTGTAATTTTTAAGACACTTCATTTCGTTGTAGTAATAACTGTTTCAACTTTAAATGCATATAGTTGCATAAAAGCTTTTTTTGATCATGTAATAATTACAAAATAATAGGGAAAGGTCTGTAGGCATAAATGACATCTGAATTTTTATCATTTCTTTCTATCTGTGCTGTGGTGATTAATGTGAATTGAGAGGTTTGCAGTGAACAGGAGTGAGTAAGGTGTGGGAAAAAATTTAAATGGATATATACGGGTATGATTATGAAGGAATGTTGGATTTAGTAATGAAAGTGTTGGAATGGTACTGTAAGTATTTGTGTGCCTCTGTGTGGATCATTTTTGAGATGGTATGAAGCTGTGTTGTTACAAGGATTGTATCGAGTGCTCTGGGGATATGGAAAGGCTTTCGATACCACAGAATAATGTCCAAATGCTTGATTAGAATGAATATGGTGTTTTCAAATTAAGAGGAAAAAACCCATCTTGAATGCAGCAGAAGCTAGTTGTAGAAGCTATAAATAGTTATATTTTGCAGATTTTAACCTTCATTTATTGCATGCAGGTACTATATTTGTTCATGAGTTGTACTTGAGTAGTAACTGACATACTAAGTTACTCGTACTGTAATGTTACCGTAATGTTTTCCTAGATTGGACCTACACCAGTCACACGTTTGTGAAAAAGCAAACACGAGACCCGGGTTGGCAGCTTTGGTCAGACCAAAACTAGGGGCCCTATGAACACAGAATTTCTAGAAGTTACATTTATGAATATAAAATAATATGATAATGTAAATAACAGCAACATGCCTGTTACTTGCATTACGACAGTATAGACAAAGTTGCCCCCCGTCCCGGCTGTAATGAATTATTCCTACTTTCGGAAATCACGCTACTCCGCTCTCTTTTCACACCCGAGTCTAGCGGTACCTGCTGCTTCACTGCCAAGCAAATCCCCCAACCTGATTGGTAAGTTTTACCACTGGAACCTTGCGCTTACAGTAGCATATTTTTGACCTTCAGTTACTTTTAATTCCTTCTTGTTTCGTTCTTGGCCCAAATGGCGCACTTTTTAGGGGCCATCCAATCCATGTTAGCCTAGAGTCCCCAGAGAAGTCAAGCAGCCCCTGACAGAATAGACATCTTTGTTGCATGTGTGCAGGTGTAGATTATTCCAAAATATTAATTATTCTAGAGCTGGACAGGATACATATAAGTAGGTGTATTAGCATGTGTTTAGATGGCGTTATGACTGGATTGACTTGGTCCGTTCTGATTACAGAACTCTTTCTGCCTTGACTGTAATCCTATCTGTCTTTAGTCCAGCACTGGTACCAGTAGCAGGTCATTCCACCCTGGGTCACAGTTATAACACAGTCTGAGGGGTCAAAGAATGAACCTTCTGCACAATGGTCACCAAATAATACTATAAGCCGCATATTTCGGATAAAATTCCTAACTGACGTAGGCCAGTGGAGTCAGTAAACTGCATTACTTCAGAAGTAAATACTGACGCTGAACTATCTTAATTTTCCAGCAAAATATTTCCAACCATGGTTGTCCTTGCTGGCAGCAATGATATAAACTGCTCAGATAAAACGTTAGAACTTTTCTGGTCCTTTAGGAATATTCTGTAGAGGGGATGTACCCTAGAATAGGCTGTATTCAATAAACCCCTAGTTAGAGACATGGTTTTCATGAAAAAGCGTAGGCTTTATTAATATCAGGCATGTTTTTTGGGCTGGTTTTTACCAGAGGAATGGTCTCTCGCCTAATTCACAGAGATCAATAGTGTTATCAAAGAACACAGCAAGCAGACTGTCTGCCTGACTACGGTACTCAGAGCACTACCCGTGCCTCAGCAAGTCGGTCATAAAGGGAATATCTTCCGTCCTCTAGTTCTTATCAATAACCTACGATGTTTAGAAAAGACCATGCTACAAATTTCACAATCATTTTGATTGTTATATAACTGAGTACCACCTGTATTAAATGTCAGAAGCTCCACTAGCAGGTATTCTGTAAAAATGTAATTACCATTACTCAGTCAAACAAAAGCTCCTAATTAAGTTAATATATATTGCTCACTATTAAGTGTTCACTGCCTGGGTAATGAAACTGTTTGACAGTATGACTAGTGACATCTGTTCTGACCCCTGCCTGCTGATTGAAGTCTTGTAAAGACCAACAGATATCATACCTTAGTTGAAGCCTGATCTGATGGCTTTACTTACTGTATTTACACAAAGCCCATCTGACTCAGCCATATGAATTCTGTATACATGTGTTTCTCAAGCCAGCCCTTGCAGACCGCCTAATTCCCTGGAAGCTGGGAGAGAGCAAAAATATGGACCTTCTCCCTCCATGTCCACCACTCTATGATCACAGTGTACCCAGCTTCTAATGGCTACTTCCAGCAGGATAACATGCCATGTCACAAAGCCCATATCATTTCAGACTGGTTTCTTGAGCATGACAGCGAGTTCGCTGCACTCAAATGACCTCCACAGACACCAGATCTCCATCCAGTAGAGCAGCTGTGGGATGTGATGGGATGGGAGACTCCCACCATGAAGGTACAGCTGACAAATCTGCAATGACTGTAACATATAATAATTAAGGCAGTTCTGAAGGCATAGGAGGTCCTACCAGGAACTACAATAGCAACGTGTACCTAATAAAGTGACCAGTGCGTATGTGTTTTTAACAATTATGGACTGGTCTCAAATGTCCTCATTGCTCAAGAATCCTTGAGAATATACTGTAGTTGCCACCCAATAGCAAACTAAGCTGGACACTAATAAAAAACAGTACTTGAAAAATCTAGCTTCGGCCCGATCTATAGCACTGAAACTACTTAAATTAACCGGCCTCTGAGACAGGGAATGCAAGAGTGCTATGCTACTAGATCTGGGTTCCACTTATGATACTATCAGCCATTCAATTCCGTTAAATAGGCTGCAGTGTGGTTGGTCCATCCAGAAGCATCCTTAGGTGTTCCATCAACTCTTTAAACTATCATCACCAATATGTTCAGATACCTAACAGCTGCACTGCATAATCGGTATCTTGGGTGAAACATCGTTGCTGGGATCATTGCTGAAACCTTTATTGTTCTTACTTTAAATGCTGTGCCTAGGAGGGATAATATAAAACCTTAAAACTAACTTTCATTCATATGCTGATGACATAAATATACCTCTCAATTGCACCACATGGCCATTCGTCCCTGATCTCCCTACTAAACTGTGTTAGGAAAGTAAAGACATTGATGAATGATAATTATCTGTCTCTAAATACAGATACAACTTGGAATGGAAAAAAGTAATTTATTCTGAGGTCTTACGATTAATTTTCACTGAATCAGCTTTTATCCTATGCAATTTTCGATATATTTCTGTCATCTGCTTTTCATATTTACTCCAGATTTAGGACGTGCTTCACACAACCATAAAACCTTTCAAATTAATACACACATTTATATGTATCACAACGGACTATTGTTAAGCCATGTCAAAAATGAAGCTGGAATTATTGTAGGAGTGAATATGGCCATATTGCACCTCTTCAAATATCTCACCACTCACTTTCCTGACTGAACGTTCAGCCATCGCTT